TGTATAAAACTACTTTTATCTGATCTCTTTAAGCTGGTTTTGAAGTCCTGTCACCACGTTTGAGCTTGCGGGCATGCACAGTCTCTTGGTATTGCTGGCCTGGGCTGTTTATCTGCCTGGGACTTCTTTCCTTTAACCTTCACATCTGACCAAGTTTTAGTGGTTTAAAATGCTGTTCTGGCCTCTTGGTGCTATAGAATTACAGACAATGTAGAAATGGCAGTTACATTCTGTTATTTTTAATAGAAAAGCTCCTAAAAAATCTAACCAGAAGAATCCAAGCAGAGTAACTTCCCAGACAGACTCTTCTTGCTACAGATAACAGGATGGCTTAATGGATGGAGGAGAAATATAGTTCTAAACGTTCCTGTACATCAGAAATCAGAAATTTGGGGATTCTGTTCTGTATTAATTTCACATTGGCTCCAATCTTCAGTTCTGTATTCACAGTCTTTCCTCCCAATTTTAAAATTGTTTCACCCTTTTTCTAGAAAGAGCTCATAATCCACTTTAGATGGTTTCATTGCTCATTTCAATCAGCGCTTCTGTATTCTGTAGGCTGAGGCTGTTTGTCTCTGCAGCTAATTCCACTAATACAATTTAAAGAAGTCTAGGGATGAGATAGTGGCAAGAATCTCTAAATAGCATTGGTAGCAAGTCAGAATTTGCATCATAGGAGAGCCAGAATTCGTCTGAAAGGAATGCTGTGGGTGGGTAGGTGGGTGGAACCAGCAACAATAAACTATCTTTTATCAGAGGAGAGCTGAATACATCACCATGAATTAACCATATTTCACGCCATATGCAGCAAAATCTCATTTTTCCAGACATCAAAACCATTTTAACAACACAAAGACACAACTGCTTCTTCCACTAAGCCTTCTCTGGCTCTCTTGGCCACCTAGAATTCGGAGCCCTCTGCAATCCTACCTGGCTTATGTGCCAAACTTTAGACCACAGCACCTTGTTCTTTTGTGGCTTTCTTTTGTGATTTTTTTTTTTACTGGTAAGTGCTCTCAGAGAGATTATTGATCCTTGTTTATTTCTTCATTATTTTTCACAGACTCTAACCCAGTACTAGGTACTCCAGGCCATTCACCGATTTGAAGAAATGCCAACAAGCTGCCAAACCCTTTGACTGCTCTAGTATAGCCCAAAGACAATAGACTGGGCACAAGAAATGCTGAGTAGTGGACACTATGGAGCTAATTTTCAAGCGGAAGGACTTTTGCAGTTGCATATTTAACCTCCACCTTCTATAATGCAGACTATGCAGTTTAGTCTGTAAATAGGATCAAGTCGCCTGTCATGACATTAGCCACAGGTTTCAGGAAGCCCCAGCCAAGGAAATATTGGCTTGCACACACTTAGTTAACACATAGCCACATTACATGCTCAATTTCTTTATGTCCTTTTAGGGCCTTAACTTTTCTGCCATTTCTGGACAGGGAGGTTGTTTTCCACTTTAACACCTTTGTAGACTTTCTTCTTTCCTGATCTCAGCACAAGTTCTGCTATTTGCTTCATAGTAAGATCAGTCACTTTCCATTCATCTTTCAGATTTGGAAATTAGTATGACTCTAGTAAAATCAGTTGTAACAGTAGTGCCAGACCTTCTCTTGCCTAGCTGCTCTTAAACAGCAAAGAAGCTGTTGACCAGTAGTTCAGTTCTAGAATTTGCAGGGTTTCTTTCCCGTCCTCTTTCTGGAAGCCTCAATTGCTTTGACTGTTTTTTTTTCCTGCTCTGAAAAAATCTTTTGACAGCAAGTCAGCACGAATCTTTCAGGCACACCAGAGGACAGCCAAGTTGTCAGCCTCCAAGGTCACTCTCAGTCTGGCTCTTCTAGGGACTTGCCTTTAGGGAGAAAGTCACCTTTCATGGAATTACTCAAAGCTCAAGGTAAGTTATGATTCAGTTTTTCTCCTGAGAAGGTCCCATAGGAAGCACTAGCTTTAAAGCAAAATCTTTATGAAAGGATTCCTTCTGTGCATTTTCCAAACAGGCCTCTTTGTCGTTACCCCCAGGAGAGCCGACAACCATTTGGGAATCAAATCTCCCTTATCATTTCCAGACTACTTTACCTTGCTGTGAGCACCCCACTGGTGGGAGGGCCACAAATGCTTCTCTCAAGCATCACTCCTACCACCAGTCTGCTGTGTCTGCAATGCCCTGGCTCTGTTCTGGCCTCCTACACCACAGGGAAGTCCCCCTTGGATTCCAAAAGAAAATTAAACTCCTTGGAATCCAAAACTAATAAACTTTCACAGAGTAGCCCCGGGTAGATTGGTTATCATGATATTTCAGTCTCACTTAACCAATAAGAGGGCTGGTTGGCAAGTTCCCAGGATGAATATTCTCATATGAGCATTGGATTAGAGGAAGCCAAAAGATTTTCCGCCATCGACATGCTCAATTTACACCCCACCTGGGTTCTGAGGTAGAGATCTTGTGACGGTTGGGGCCCTGCAGAGCAATTAAAAGAAATAAAGCAAAGTATTATATTTTAATTGATGTAATCTTCAAGCTCCCAGTGGAATCTGGGGTGATATCTGACTAGAGTTACCCCAGGTATCAATAGATGACTATTCTGTGAAAGTGCATTTAGGAAGACAAAACCCCATGAATCCTGGACTTCATTAACATGTGTATCCGTTTTGGGAGGGGGGATTGGCTCAGACTCCCAGGACTAAAAATTGAAAGAAGCCACCTAGACTTTCCTGGGATCTGAACAAAGAGTGGCACAGGGTGGGGTGGGGGAGTGGAGAGGGAGGTAGAGAAAGAGGGAAAGATAGAGGGCAGTGGAGGGGAAGGCACAAAGTACATTTCTACTTTATTTGCTTTTAGAGGTTGGTGCCTGGGTATTAGACACACCAAACCATACTATCCAAACCAAAACAGTTCTCACCCATCACTAACATTTCAGGGTTTGTTTTTGTTTTATTGTAAATATTCCAGTCGAAGAAAGATAAACAGACAAGAAAAAACTGCTTTATACAGTACACAGAGTCAGATAGAAAATACAGAATGGAAAGAAAGCCAACAACCAATAGATAAAAAGTGGAGACAAACCAAGGAAGGTTGCAAATTCACACAGCAGCTGGACGGAGGTGCAGCAGCCATGTCAGCCCCTAAGAGAAACTGCCTAGTGCCGTCAATCTTATCTTTATTCCACAAGGTGAGGGAAACATCACTTATAAATGATGCATGGGGACATTTATTTCACTAATCCATTAAAAAAGTCTGCTATTGATCAAGATATCCTGCTCATAAAAATGTGTGTTTTTTTTAAAAAAAAAAAACAACCCTTCCCGCCCCAGTGGGATCTGATAGGAGGGACCACAAAGTCAGAAGCAGGGGATGGTGCTGCAGGGTGGAGCAGTGTGGCACTGCTAGGGTCTGTGGGCGGTTGGCCTTCAGGTGCCCTTTCCACTCATCTTTGTTTTTTCCCACGGTGTTAGGCAAGGTTCAAAAATACGTACGTGTCCTGCACAGCTTACTATCACTGCATGGTTACAAAAAAAAAAAAAAAAAAGATAAAACGGAGTCAAATTTATGAAAGGGCAGAAGTCAGCTTAGGACAAAACTGGCATCCTGAATAGGAATCACCAAAGTACCCCTGGGCCTCCAGGATGGCAGCTTTAACTAGATGTCCTGGCTCAGAGAGGATGCTGACCTACCCAAACAGTAAAAGCATGGAATTGAGCTCATCATCTCCAAAAATGTCTTTATTTTAGTACATTCAAAGCAGCAGCAATGTGAGGACAACTCCATTCAAGGTGGTGGTGGCAGCAGTGGAGGTGGCGGCGGTGGTTGTTTATTTCTCTCTCCCTCTGAATTTTCTGTTTACAACCAGAAATTGCATAGAATTTGTTTTCCATCAGAAAATGACAACTCTGCGTGAAACTCCCAAGTGGCGATGCCAAGCAAAGGTTAAGCAGCTGCTGGGAAGCCTCACCCCTCCCTGGTGAGTGCTCTGAACCCTGCAGACTTCTTACAAGCAGAGCAGGGACCAGAAGCACCTGACAACCTGGAAGGCATCACTGTATGAACTCCCATCCTACTCTGTGTATGGAACAGAAGTCAGATGCTTTGTGCCTAAAGTCACACAACGGGGATGAGTGGCTGCTGCCCAGACCGGTGGTAAAGACCCAAGAATCCTTGCTTCCCAGGCCTGTGATTGGCTAAGGGACTCCATCCCTCTTCCACAAACCTGGCAAATTCTTGTTTGCTGAAGGTCTTTCCATTTAATAAACACACACACACACACACACACACACACACACACACACACACAACTTGCACTCAGGTCTCACATCACAGTAGCAAGAAATCACCCAATCTGTGATAGCATTGAGCATGGGGGTACCATAGGCAGCTACTGAGTTTGGTTCATAGGAAATGCAGTTCATAAAGGTTGCACCATACCGATCTGGTGGCCCTGTCCTTCCTCTTCCTCGAGCAGCACATTGCAGTGGAAGCCAGGTCAAATTACAGCCACACTCTCTGCTCCTTACCAGGGAAAGGACGCTGTGTGCACTGTTTTTCTCCCTCATCTCTCTTCAGAGACCACATTCGAAAAAGACCAAACCCAACCCAGTAGTAGTGAAAGTCAGAAAATAAAGAGAAAGAAGAGGCAGATTAACCCTTGAAACCTGAGACATTTCAGGGTCTCTCCAAGTAAACTATGGGTTCATTGCTTTTTGGCATTTGGAATCGTTTGAATAGACTTTCGCTGAGACTCCCTCCACTCCTCCCTCCAGGTCCTCGTCCTGCATTGCTCCTGCAGGTTCCCAACCAACACAGCGAGCAGAGGTCAGCACCTGAAACCAGGTTCAGGGGCAACTGCGAGCTAGAATCCCGGAGAAAGGAACAGGGATTATTTAGACTTCCATTCCCTAACCCAACTCCTCCTCCAAAAACTTCGAAACCAGTAAACAGGACTGAGAGGGCGACAAAAGAAGAAAAGGAGGGAAGAAAGAAAAGAACATTAACAAAAATATACAAATCCAGAAAAGAAAAACTTCCCTGTTGAGTTTAATTTTTTTTTCCTGTAAGAACTAGGCCCAGGGTAGGAACAATGGCCCCTTCCTAGGGAAAGTTCAACTGATGATTCCATCCATTCCTTGGGCTGGGCTGGGCACAGCCCCCACCCCAGACTGTTATTTGGAAGGGAAAAGCCCACTGGGAGAAGATGGGTCCTTGCGCCCACGAGGGACAGCATCCCTTTGCCACTTGGGTGGAACGTCTCGGGGTGGACCCGGTCCCCGACCGGGCATCCTGTGTCTCTGCCTGGGGTGTCAGGCTCTTTCACCGTTTTGTAAAGTGACTGAATCCCGAATCCAGGAAGAAGCGTGGCCGCTGGACATGTCCGGGCTGCCCGAGACAGCGGCGCCGGCCCAGCCCTCCCGCCTCCCCACCTGGCTCCACGTCGGTGGCCGCCGGCTACTCCGGCTATTCGGGCTCGCTGCTGTTGGTGGTCTTCTCCCACTCCAGGCTCTCTTCGCTGCGGGCCGGGGACGGCCGCGCTCGAAGGCCCTGGAAGCGGCGGCACTCGGGGCAGACGCGGATGTGCGTGCAGCCGCGGGCCACCAGGGCCGCCTCCTGCGCCAGTCTCTGCGCCAGCTGGTCGGGCTCTCCGGCCCCGCACAGCTTCCCATTGCTGAGCGTCGCGGTGCCCCGGGGCCGCCGCTCCTCCGGGATAGGGGGATGGGGCTGCGGGACGCCCGCACGCCGCCGGCGAGGGTGGATACTGTCCTGACACAGGATGATGCTGCGCAGCTCGGTCACCATCTCCTGGCAGACGGACACCTGGAGGAGACAGGGAGGTCACAGTCAGCCTCTCAGCGCCAGCCCACGAGCCCTGCGGGTCCGCGGGGATGGGGGCCCAGGCCGGGGCCACGGAGTCACCCCATCGTAGGTATGCGGGCCTTTGGATCCAACACCTCTCCCAACCCCGTCTAATGTTCAAAGGTCTGCCAGCTGGTCATCCAGTCTTCCAACACCGTCTAAGACAGTGAGCTCACCATCGTGGGAAAGAGCCTGAGCCACTTCCCCACATATCCGGTAATGCCGCTTCCTCCTACCGCGCTTTCTATCCCTGAAATTTTTATCCACTGACCCTAGTTAAATTTGGACTTTACGACTACTAAAAAACAAACAAACACCCTCTGCCACCTCAGTCACTGAAGTCTTTACCATGTCCCCATGAGTCCCGTTTTCAGGTCAAAGACTCTCATTTCTTTTTAACTAACTGGTTATGGCTAGAAATGATGTGTTCTGGTAATAATTAAGCCAAGAGCAACCACTGCTACTATAGGTCCACAATCTCCTAATACAAAACACTGGGCTCCAGCTATTCCAAAACTTGGAATATTTTGGATTTGAGGAAGGTAATACAATCCACAAATGATATACAATGGGTGTAGGGCAAACTCCACATTCAAACACATTCATATTTCTGTAGCAAAATGTAAGTATGATCACACTGAGCAAGATAAAGACCATAAACATTAGCTAAGTCAAGTTTTGTCACCGAATGTATTTGCATCAAATTTATATATAAAGAACTTGGAACTTTCCAAGTGTTTGGGGTTTAGGATTGTGGCTGAAGAATCATTAGCCTGTATTACTGCTATTATTATAGCCACATCCCAGAAAGCCAGTGGAGGCTCGGAGAGGTTATATATTTTGTCAATGATTAACTAATAAATAGCTGACTGAGAATCTGCATTTAAACTTCTCTAATTCCAAGGCCCATGCATGTTTGGTTGAGTTCTCATCTCAGTGTGAAACACCACTTTCCTCAGCCATGATCTAGAAGAGCCTCCTCTTCTTCCACATTCTCTCTCTCAGTTCTATCAATGACATCTATTCCACAACAATCAAAGAGCCTTTACTCATGTTAGCAATTGAGAATGCTCTAACTTTTATTGAGTTTGTTGGTGTATGTCCAGCTGTGGGTGAGCTCTTGGGAGAAAAACCAAATATAAAGAAGCTACAGATAGTAACACCTAATGGAATATGACTTGCTTTTAGTACTTCAGACCTAGACTTTAGACCTGTTACAAAACAGCAGAGATTCTTGGCAAGTCACGTAACCTCTAATTACTATGCCAACAAAAATTTCCCTGCCTGCCTAGTCCGAGTGACAAGAATAAAACAACACTGAGCTACTGACTGTCTATAGTGTGCCAAGCACTGCACTTTGTAGTGGGAATACAGAAACAAAAGACACTGCCCCGCAGGCAGCTCAGTCTCTAGTCACTGTAGCATAGCGTGTAAGTGCTCCATACCTACTTACAATGGTGTCAGGAAGGAGAAGGAATCAAGAACCCTACTGGTCCAGAGGAGAAGGCAGGAGAAATGGGAGAGATTTCACAGGGAAGAGATTGCCTGAATGTGCCTTATGGAATCAGTAAGTACCACCGTCACTTAATGAGTGGGCAAAAGCAGAAAGTCAGTAGGGACAGGGAGAGAAGTATGAGGGGAAGCAAGAAAGCTTGGTGCTACACAAGGCAAGGGAGGAGAGAGATTCTGGAAGGAAGTGTCCACTTCCTTCCATTCTGGAAGGAGAGGGCACACTGAGGTCCAGTAAGGCCCGATGGATTCTTTTTGTTTTGGTCCTTTGATAAAACATGTTGGATTGTTTAGCAATAGCCCTTCCGTGCAGGGGTAGAAAGAAGCCAGCCAGGCAAGGATTGAGGACCAAATGGGAGGTGAGGAAAGAGAAAGTGACATAGTCAGATTGCCTTGGTTTGGAAGAAAGGAGGGATACAGCAATAATCACATTGTAATTACTTTTGAAATATGGGTAATAAGAGAGTATTTATAGATTCTGATGAGAGATCGGGAAGAAAAATATAGGAGAGACAGAGGATAAACCTAGAGTACAAGGGGTGCTTGAGAAGTACAGTGTATGTTTAAATGTTTTAAAAATTACAGTAAAAGACACATGATCATTACTTCCCCTTACTTCAAACACAGTCATTCTTGCTACTCTCTAAAGCAGTTCTGGAAGTCCTCCTTCATGAGTGTCTTTAAGAGGTATGATAAAAAAAAATACCATCAGTGTTGCTGCTGAGCGCCATCCAAAGGACCAGCAGGAATGAACTATTACAGCATGCCATAATCCACCTTATTCACCTGATCTGGTATCATGTGATTTCTGGCTTTTCCTCCAAGTCAAAATGACCGTGAAAGGAAACACTGTCAATCAATTCAGGACACCAAGTCAGCTACAACCATGCAATTAAACATACTTTATGAAAAAGGACTTCCAGAACTGTGTCAGAAGGTGGCAAGGATGACGGGATAAGTGTGTTCAAAGTGAGGGAAGTCTTCTGAGGGGGATTAGCAGCAGCGTGTCTTTCACTGTAAGATATTTTATTGCAATCACATTTTTCAATCACATCTTGTAGCTAAGGAACGGCAAGATCAAGGGAGAGATGGGAGGAGAACAGGACATCTGCTGCAGATGCGGAAGTGAGCAACACACATATGCACACATTTTTTAGGTAGTGATTTTCATTTGAGGCTCTTCACTCCTGACTTTTTTGGGGAGGATGGATATAAAAATAAGCTCTATGCCTGCAGGAACAGAGAACGTGATGACTGAGTGACAGCATGGCACTGCGCGGGGATGGGAGAGACTCAGCTCAGAAGAGGAAAGGGACTGGCAGGCAGAGCTGTGTCCAGGTCCCATGTGAGGTGGGACTCCCCAGGGTTCTAAGGGATTGGCCATACAGTCCTAAGATGTCTCTCCACCAGCAATTCAGGAAAGGAGTTTTAGGAAGATCCAATTGGGAGCTTGTGATAGAGGCTAATGTACTTTTAAAAATCTCATAATCTAATTAACATGCAAGGATTTGTACACTTTTGCTGGAATGGAACAATGTTAAAAATTAGTCATCTTCCTTCTTCAGTCTCTTCCTTCAGTGTGAGGTTTACACTAACTCACCTCTGAGCCATAAGTGGGGAATGAAATTTGCTCAAATCCTGGAGAAGTAAGATCTAATTCTTGGATTCCTCTAAGTTGGGATATCTCTGAGGGTCTTAATTATAGGCCAGAAACAGTCAGTGGAAAGACTGAGTTTGTATTTTCCATCACTAACCCGGTATTTCTATGTACACACACACACACACACACACACACACACAC